AGAAAACGATCTACTCAATGGATTTCATCAAGACTAGTTCCCTGCGTGCTCTGATTGAGTTAACTTTCCAACGCAACTGGAACGGCCTCATTTGGATGAGTAGAAAAGGACTTATAGCCAAAAGAGCGAAGACTGTCCAAAGCCGATCTATCGAGAATCGACGCCCAAACCGCGCAGAACGGCCGGCCGAGGAACGCATGTTCCGCTCTCGGCCAAAATTGCGTCCGTCCGTCTGAAGTCTCGGCCAAAGTTCAAAACCGTTCGGCCGATCATGCATCACGACCCGGGAAACTAAGACCCGCAGTCGGCCACGCCACGACCGTCCACGCCTCGCCGCGCACGACCATGCCGCGCGAGCCGGGAAACAAAGCCTCGCGGCCGCGTAACCTATCTCGCGTACCACGGCCGATGGTTCCGGCTCGTCCCAAGTCCGGCCGAGAAACCATCGACCATTCCATCAACCGTCCGACCACACCGGCCGACCGTTAAATCATCCGGCCACGACCGTTCCGACACGGCCACAACCCGACTGTCGGGCCGATCGTCCCGACCGACCGTCTGAACGCCGCGGTCGCCCCAAAGCCGTTTTTGAAGCCCAATCCGCACAATCCAAGCCCAAAGCCGGCGCCGACCTAGCAAGATTAGGTCTAGCCGCTTTTTCATACTTAGTGTATTATAAATACTTCTTTTTAGCCTTGTAACTCAAGAAGGAGAGAGACCACAATATATTTTACATCTTTAATAAAGTTTTGGTTGCTTTTACTTTGTTCTTGCGTGTGCTCTTTCTAGAGAGGATTCGAATCTCTGTTCTTATGAATATGAATTCGTGTTCCTTCTCTATGTCTGAGTAGTTTACTTGTTAAGTGATAGGAAGTCAAAGGATAGCATTCATGTATGTTTGATGATTGATCACAATTAGGGTTTTACTTATAATCTCCATCTTTGCTTATACTTAATGCTTGTTGTTAATCTGGCCAATAAGCATATGAACTTGGGTTGATTTGAGCCTCGATAGTGCTGTATCATTCGCCTGAACTAGTATTTGGTGGGCAACCTCTTTTAGACTGCGAAAGTTGATTTACTTGTAGGTTGTGAACAATTGAACTTAATCAAACTAATGCTTGATTTAATCACCTAAGGATATACCAAAAGTTTAGCGACTAGGTAGATTAACAAAGGGGTCGGAGCCTCGACAGTGGAATGATCATACCTTAGTGTTTCAAGTTCTAGAATGACACCTAATTGCAGTAACCCTAATTGATTGATTTCTTGCTTCATGAATTGCTTATCTTAAGACTATCCTATTGCTTAGCCCTTTTCTCCTATTGATCTTATTCTATTTGAAACTTGCATGCCTTTACTCTTACTGCACTCAACCAAACCTTATACTTTTGCCCTAGCTCGATCTCGAACTTATAGCTTGTAGTGTGCAATCTGGTCCTCGTGTTCGATACCCGTTTACTACTTCTGACCTGTGCACTTACAGAATCAGGGATAGGAAAGGGGAAGACCTGATCCCGCGATCAAGTTTTTGGCGCCGTTGCCGGGGACCAATTTGTCACCTACAAGTTCCTGCAAGAGAGCTAGTCTAGGGTTTTATCTTTTTCCTTTTTAGTTTTGTTATTTTCCCTTTTCCTTTTGATTTGGTTTTTCCTTTTTGTTTTTGATCTTTTTCAGGCTTTCCTAGTTAGATATGGAAAATGATTCACAAGTCCTTGTTCCTATAAAGGCGATTCCACTTCGCCAAATACCACCTCAAAGAAACCTCTTGGACGAACAAGAGATGTCAAGCCCTCAAGCACCACCACCTTCTTGGGATAGTCCTCCAAAACTATCCTCCTTGAAGACAAAGAAGAAACTTCTTCCCTACCTTGAAGCAGCCGACCTGGAGACATCTAGCCAAGCCGCATCTTACAGAGAAGAACACCTTCTAGCCACGCCAGAAGAGGAGATTAACCCTGAGATGATTGAGTTCGTGAAGAGAGATCAATTCCATCATCTGTTTTCAGAGTATGCGCTAGAGCATCTGGATCACTTTGATAATCTTTGTGATTCCTATGGAGTCTTTGACTTTGAGAAGAAGATGATGCTATTCAGCACATCACTAGCTGGACCAGCACTAGATTGGGCGCAGCATGAGCCACTCTCTACAATCGAGTCATGGATCGATTTTAGAGAAGCCTTCTTGAAGAGATTTGCAAGGCTACCACCTTTCAAGTCCAAGTACAATCACTACTCTCATCAGCTGGAGAGAGAGCGTGAAGAAGAAGAATGGGGAGGCATACCACCCCATCTTGAAGAGCTAATCAAGCATGTGGAGAGAAACCCTTTCTACAATTCTACTTCAGAGTGTGCAAAGGAGCATCTATGCAACTTTGAGCAGCTTTGCCACGACTATGGAGTTGGAGATAACCCCAAGAAGATACAACTTTTCCAACTATCTTTAGCTGGACAAGCCAAAGAATGGGCTAAGTTCAACGCCCAACATGCTTTCAAGACTTGGAATGGATACAAAGGAGCTTTCCTCTACAGATTTGCTAAAGGTCCCATTTATGTTCCACCACCACGCCCCAGTAATTTTTCGATGGATTTCCGACGGTTTTCAACAGCACAAAAACGGTCGGTAATCCGTCGGCAATTTCCGACGGATTAGAACTCGTCGGAATTATTGGGATATTTTCGATGGTTTAGCGACAAATTTTATTTCCATCGTATATAGGGAAATATTTCCGACAGTGTTTCAACAGGCATGAAGTCCGTCGTAAATCACAGGAAACATTTCCGACGGTTTAATGAGGAATACAAAATCCGTCGGGAAAATTTTGATTAATTCCGTCTACAATTCGTCGGATATATTTGCGATAAATTTCCGACAAATTTCCGTTGAGAAAATAAGCGATGACTTTCCGACGGAATCATTTTCTGACGGATTATCGACAGATTTCCCGATCAGGACCATTGCGGATAATCTCTCAGTATTCCGCCGGGAAACTGTTTCGACGGGTTCCGACGGCTTACTATCGACAGATTATTGATGAACATCCCGACCATGATGGTTGTCGATAAACTCTCGGTAATCCGTCGTTAATAATTTTCGACGGATTCCGACGGTTATTTACGACGGATTTCCGACGAATGTTGTTTTTCCGACGACTTGTAATTGACGAATTATAACGGTCGGAAATCCGTCGATATAGATGGTTTCCGACGGTTGATCGACAATTTTCTCCATCAGTTTCACGCTGTTTTCTTGTAGTGCCGGACTTCAAACCAGTTCAATGCCACTGCATCAACTTTGGATGGAGCTAGAAAACGATCTACTCAATGGATTTCATCAAGACTAGTTCCCTGCGTGCTCTGATTGAGTTAACTTTCCAACGCAACTGGAACGGCCTCATTTGGATGAGTAGAAAAGGACTTATAGCCAAAAGAGCGAAGACTGTCCAAAGCCGATCTATCGAGAATCGACGCCCAAACCGCGCAGAACGGCCGGCCGAGGAACGCATGTTCCGCTCTCGGCCAAAATTGCGTCCGTCCGTCTGAAGTCTCGGCCAAAGTTCAAAACCGTTCGGCCGATCATGCATCACGACCCGGGAAACTAAGACCCGCAGTCGGCCACGCCACGACCGTCCACGCCTCGCCGCGCACGACCATGCCGCGCGAGCCGGGAAACAAAGCCTCGCGGCCGCGTAACCTATCTCGCGTACCACGGCCGATGGTTCCGGCTCGTCCCAAGTCCGGCCGAGAAACCATCGACCATTCCATCAACCGTCCGACCACACCGGCCGACCGTTAAATCATCCGGCCACGACCGTTCCGACACGGCCACAACCCGACTGTCGGGCCGATCGTCCCGACCGACCGTCTGAACGCCGCGGTCGCCCCAAAGCCGTTTTTGAAGCCCAATCCGCACAATCCAAGCCCAAAGCCGGCGCCGACCTAGCAAGATTAGGTCTAGCCGCTTTTTCATACTTAGTGTATTATAAATACTTCTTTTTAGCCTTGTAACTCAAGAAGGAGAGAGACCACAATATATTTTACATCTTTAATAAAGTTTTGGTTGCTTTTACTTTGTTCTTGCTTGTGCTCTTTCTAGAGAGGATTCGAATCTCTGTTCTTATGAATATGAATTCGTGTTCCTTCTCTATGTCTGAGTAGTTTACTTGTTAAGTGATAGGAAGTCAAAGGATAGCATTCATGTATGTTTGATGATTGATCACAATTAGGGTTTTACTTATAATCTCCATCTTTGCTTATACTTAATGCTTGTTGTTAATCTGGCCAATAAGCATATGAACTTGGGTTGATTTGAGCCTCGATAGTGCTGTATCATTCGCCTGAACTAGTATTTGGTGGGCAACCTCTTTTAGACTGCGAAAGTTGATTTACTTGTAGGTTGTGAACAATTGAACTTAATCAAACTAATGCTTGATTTAATCACCTAAGGATATACCAAAAGTTTAGCGACTAGGTAGATTAACAAAGGGGTCGGAGCCTCGACAGTGGAATGATCATACCTTAGTGTTTCAAGTTCTAGAATGACACCTAATTGCAGTAACCCTAATTGATTGATTTCTTGCTTCATGAATTGCTTATCTTAAGACTATCCTATTGCTTAGCCCTTTTCTCCTATTGATCTTATTCTATTTGAAACTTGCATGCCTTTACTCTTACTGCACTCAACCAAACCTTATACTTTTGCCCTAGCTCGATCTCGAACTTATAGCTTGTAGTGTGCAATCTGGTCCTCGTGTTCGATACCCGTTTACTACTTCTGACCTGTGCACTTACAGAATCAGGGATAGGAAAGGGGAAGACCTGATCCCGCGATCAAGTTTTTGGCGCCGTTGCCGGGGACCAATTCGTCACCTACAAGTTCCTGCAAGAGAGCTAGTCTAGGGTTTTATCTTTTTCCTTTTTAGTTTTGTTATTTTCCCTTTTCCTTTTGATTTGGTTTTTCCTTTTTGTTTTTGATCTTTTTCAGGCTTTCCTAGTTAGATATGGAAAATGATTCACAAGTCCTTGTTCCTATAAAGGCGATTCCACTTCGCCAAATACCACCTCAAAGAAACCTCTTGGACGAACAAGAGATGTCAAGCCCTCAAGCACCACCACCTTCTTGGGATAGTCCTCCAAAACTATCCTCCTTGAAGACAAAGAAGAAACTTCTTCCCTACCTTGAAGCAGCCGACCTGGAGACATCTAGCCAAGCCGCATCTTACAGAGAAGAACACCTTCTAGCCACGCCAGAAGAGGAGATTAACCCTGAGATGATTGAGTTCGTGAAGAGAGATCAATTCCATCATCTGTTTTCAGAGTATGCGCTAGAGCATCTGGATCACTTTGATAATCTTTGTGATTCCTATGGAGTCTTTGACTTTGAGAAGAAGATGATGCTATTCAGCACATCACTAGCTGGACCAGCACTAGATTGGGCGCAGCATGAGCCACTCTCTACAATCGAGTCATGGATCGATTTTAGAGAAGCCTTCTTGAAGAGATTTGCAAGGCTACCACCTTTCAAGTCCAAGTACAATCACTACTCTCATCAGCTGGAGAGAGAGCGTGAAGAAGAAGAATGGGGAGGCATACCACCCCATCTTGAAGAGCTAATCAAGCATGTGGAGAGAAACCCTTTCTACAATTCTACTTCAGAGTGTGCAAAGGAGCATCTATGCAACTTTGAGCAGCTTTGCCACGACTATGGAGTTGGAGATAACCCCAAGAAGATACAACTTTTCCAACTATCTTTAGCTGGACAAGCCAAAGAATGGGCTAAGTTCAACGCCCAACATGCTTTCAAGACTTGGAATGGATACAAAGGAGCTTTCCTCTACAGATTTGCTAAAGGTCCCATTTATGTTCCACCACCACGCCCCAGTAATTTTTCGATGGATTTCCGACGGTTTTCAACAGCACAAAAACGGTCGGTAATCCGTCGGCAATTTCCGACGGATTAGAACTCGTCGGAATTATTGGGATATTTTCGATGGTTTAGCGACAAATTTTATTTCCATCGTATATAGGGAAATATTTCCGACAGTGTTTCAACAGGCATGAAGTCCGTCGTAAATCACAGGAAACATTTCCGACGGTTTAATGAGGAATACAAAATCCGTCGGGAAAATTTTGATTAATTCCGTCTACAATTCGTCGGATATATTTGCGATAAATTTCCGACAAATTTCCGTTGAGAAAATAAGCGATGACTTTCCGACGGAATCATTTTCTGACGGATTATCGACAGATTTCCCGATCAGGACCATTGC